TGCAAGAATACATCAATGCGTGTACTATACAAAAATCCTAAACTAGCTAAACCGAGAGGTAACGAAACACTAGGAAGAGTTGGGAAACAATTTACCTGCGAGAAGAGAGCCACGGTGATTAAAGGCAACACATTTAATGACCCCATGCTCCAAATATTCTTCAATCACCTCCGGAAAATCTCCTTGCAATGGATCTAACACACCCAGAAAATGAATGAAAAAATACTACCGGTGAATGACATTGAGAAAGGAAGCAGAACTGTAAATAGAGTTTTACCTATGATCGGAGCATTCATATTCTCTTGTCGGTCTTCAATACGGCCGGGATACCGAAGGGAGTGCAAACTGAGTACCTGCACGAAATTAGGGTTTCTACTACACAGAGATCAAGTCGACGCAATAAAAGCTTAAAACGATGATATCCGACTAACCTAGGTAAGGTTTCTAAGAGCCGTGAATTACAATGGGAGTGGAGAAATTAGGTTTATCAATCTCTTCGCTTGATTCCTCCTCCGAAGACGATTTGCTTTGAGGTCGACGCAAATCTTCGAAGAGGGAGAAAAGTCACGTTTTAGAAACGAATTCAGAGAAGGAATGCGAAAGCAGAATTGGTGTTTCGAAGAAGCTCTGCTCTGGTTTCGGAGGAATTGATCGCGAGGATGAAGAAGAAGAAGAAACTTGAGAGTGCGAACGCAACGGAAGAGCGATTAAACAAGGGGTGAGTGGGCTTTAACCGGTCCGCATTAACCAGTGAAATAAATATATCGGTCTATCTCATTAGCCTAAATCTGTACTTAAATTACTTTAGCACAATAACTCATAATAAAAAAAAAAAAAATGTTACAATTTGAAGAGATGAGAAAGCTGATTGGTTGGCTTATTGTTACAATTTGAAAATGTTGATAACAAAAACAAAGGATTTGAATGTTGTCTCGATTATTTCATAAGACTGAAACATGGACCTACATGTGGACCGCACAACAAAAGTATCTACACTTTTGCAAAGAACCCCTCATGGATTATTCGCTTCTCAACAAAGATAGAACATGACACGTGGCAACAATCCATTTGCACGAAAATCATATTTGGATAAGGAAATGGATCATTTTCTCCACAAACTCGATCCTTTCCACAAACTCAAATCGCCCAACTTCTTAAAACACATTCCACCATCTCACAACCATTAACCCC